TTTTAGAGAAAAATCCTTCCATGGTCATTTCTTTGTAGATTTATAAATTTCCACCCACAAGTCAAGGAAGTCTGTACAATAGTGACTGCTAATAACACAATCATTTTTTAAATGTTGTACCTCAAAATATGATATAAATTTTTTAGGTATAATTTTAGATTAAATCAAGGGACAAAAATACTTCATATTCACCTGACTCTTTGGCAAGTATGTTCATAAGCTAGAAAAGAAGTTATAAGCATGTTTTGGGATATCTTGATTCAAAGAACAAAACAGAATAAAAGCAGTTATTTATCAGCTTCCCAGACTGTCAAAATAAAAGACATTTGATACATTTTATATATGCAAACAGGTATCTTCAATTTTGAATTCAGTTTTGGTGTAGAACTCTGAATAAAAGAAAAATTATTAATTTTATGAAACATCAATGCATAAAAATTACACGAAAGTAACAAAATAGAAAGGGTATTGGGAAGAAATCAAGGCTATCGTAGAATAAACTAGGTCATTTGGGCTGGCTTTGGTTGCCAAGCAACTGGGATTTCTCATTGTTTCCCGTTAGAATAATCCTGTCTTTAAGAGTCTTATTAAATTGTTTATTTCTTCTTCAAGACTTATACTAACATATTTAGGAATCACACTAATGAGAAAACTGCACGACTTACATAAAGGAAAATTAAAAGCTCTATTGAAAGACAGAAAACAAAATATGATTTCCTCTTCAAAGGATCAGTGAGTACTATAAATATGTTAATTATCTTTAAATTAATCTATAAAATCAACTCAATTCCAATTGTGTTTTGGAGGTAGAAGTTATCAGAGTAATTCTAACATATCTGGATAAATAAACAAAATATATTAACAGATTAATTTCAGGAAAGAGAGATTATGAATGGGCCTTACCCTATAATATATTAAGCCACAGAGACAATGAAATAGGAATGGAACAGACAGAATCCAAAAGGTAGTCCAAATTAGACACAGAGTGCATACCATATGAACAGGTCACACATGAGGGTACACTGAGGCCATGCAAGCATAATTTTGTAGGTATGTCTAACAAGTGTGTACACGCATGTTGTAAGTAGGCATAGTATGTGTATAGAAAACTAGAATATGACAAAAAACATGTTTCACATACGTGGTTAATCAGTTATCTAAAAAATAACAAAGGAGAAACTGGTCACTGAGAATAAAATAAAGACCAAAACCTAACCCTTATTCCCCACCCCAAAAATATTTCCAATAAAACAAAGATTTACATATTAAAATATGAACAACTAAAACGTAAAAGTAGAACATAGGTTAAACTTTTTTTTTTTTTAATTTTGCTAAGCTAGGCCTTTATAAGTACGGTATCAAAATAAGAAACTATAATACGCCTGGCTGACGTAGTTCAGTGGTTGAGCATTGACCCATGCACCAAGAGGTCACTGGTTCGATTCCTGGTCAGGGCACATGCCCAGGTTGTGGGCCAAATCCCCAGTGGGGGCATGCAGGAGGTGGCCAATTGATGTTTTCTCTCATTGATGTTTCTCTCTCTCCCTCTCCCTTCCGCTCTCTCTCTAAAATCAATAAAGAAAAAAATTTTTAGCCCTGGCCGGTTTGGCTCAGCGCTTAGAGGGTTGGCCTGTGGTCTACAGAGACCCGGGTTCGGTTACCGCTAAGGGCATGTACTTCGGCTGCAGCTTGTCCCCGGCCCTGGTCAGGTTGTGCGGGTGGCAGCCACTCGATGTGTCCCTTTCACGTCGATGTTTCTCTCTCTCTCTCTCCCTCCCACTCTATCTGAACAAAATATCGAAAAATGTCCTCGGGTGAGGATAAAAAAAAGAAACTATAATACAATCTTAAGAGATCTGACAATTGTATGAAAACATTCTAAAAACTGTATTACTAGCAGACAAAACTCATGAGAGACAGAAAGTCAAATGGTGGTTGCCAGGGTCTGAGGGGAGAGGGAAATGAAGAATTAGAGTTTAATGGGTACAGAGTTTCAATTTGGGAAGGTGAAAAAATTCTGGAGATGGATGGTGGTGACAGTTTGCACAATGTAAACGTACTTAATGCCACTGAAATGTATGGTTAAAATGGTAAATTTTGTTATATGTATCTTACCACAATTTAAAAATGGGGGAAAACGTACAGAAATCACTATAAATACTTCATAAATTATCAAATAAAATAAGTAAACAATAAGATATACTTTCTCACCTATGATATTAACAAAGATAGGAAAAATGCTCATACATTATCAGTGACATCCAAAGTGGGCATATAATCTTTACAGAAAGCAATCATAGAACATAAATCAAAATATAATATATGCATCTGCTTAGTCCCAGTAGTTTTGTTGCCAGAAACGTAAACTAATAAGATAATGTTGCAAGTGTGCTAAGATATTTATTATAAGAATGTTACCACAGTACTATTTGTAAAAGCATAAAATTGGAAACAATCTCAATTTCTATTATAAAGAAACTGGGTAAGTTATGTCTGTCCTATAGAAAGGAGTATTATGCAGTCATTTAAATATTACAAAGTAATTCTATATTTGTTCTCATGAAACAGTATCTTTGACATATGATAGTGAAAAATAGCTTTCAAAACATTAGTTTCATTTGCATCAAATTATATTCACAGACAATAATATACCCGAATAAAGCAGCAGCACACACACACCAAAATATTAGCAAAATATTAGTTAATTAGTTATGTCTGGGTAACTAAAATTTTTTTTTCTTTTCTAAATAGTTTGAATGTCTTACTATGAGCATGTATCATATTTATAATTTATAAGGCAATTTTTCATTTAAAAAATTCTACAGTTTAAAAATATCTAATATTTAATTTACTCTTAAGTTTATATAGTTTATTACATGACAATATCTCTTAGAGCAAATTAAGGATTATATACAGGAAATGTCACTGTTTTAAATAATGTGGATAACTATAATTTATATTCAACACCTTGCATTATAAATAACTTTCAACACCGAATGAAAGAGCTGGAGGAGTCCTGACCAGTTTGCCTCAGCGGTTAGAGCATCAGCCCTTGGATCAAAGAGTCACGGGTTCAATTACCAGCCCTGGTTGGGGTCATGCGGGAGACAACTAACTGATGTGTCTCCCTCACATATCGATATCTCTCTCTCTTTTGCTCCCTCACTCTCTCCAACTCTATTTGAAGCTAAATGGAAAAATACCCTCAGGTGAGGATTTAAAAAAAATTAAAAAAAGAGCTGGAAGGATTCTTTTGCCTACAGCAAAAGCATAAGGGCCAAAGATGCTCCTAACATCATAAGAAAAATCTTTTTAAAAAGTTACGTGTTTGTAGATAAATTTTTCCTACTCTTAAGTAACTTCAAATTACTATTTTAAGTACTTAAAAATCAACCTGCCCTGCCCCTTGTGGCTCAGTGGTTAGAGCATCAGCCCAAGCACACAAGGATTGGGGGGTTCGACTCCTGGTCACGGCCCCACACCTGGGTTGCAGGTTCCATCCCTGGCCCCAGTCTAGACGAGTGTGGGAGGCAACCAATCAATGTGTCTCTCTCACACTGATCTTTCTCTTTCTTTCTCTCTCTCTCCTCCTTTCTCCCTCTCTCCATCCCCACTCTCTCTAGAATCAATGGAAAAATATCCTTGGGTGAGGATTAACAACAAGAAAATCAACCTGGAAAGACACAAAATATTCAATATGAACTACACCAAAATAAAAACGGGAAAATAGATAAGAAATAATGGTGTTCTATATTCCATATTCATCTTGAAGTTATAAATCATTTACTGAACATATCTATACAAATGATTATTAACATCTTAAGTTCAGCTACTTAACATCACAATAGAAGCATCATTTAACTGATTTTTTTTGGAGGGGTTAATCCTCACCAGAGGATATTTTTCCATTGATCTTTAGATAGAGTGGAAGGGAAGAAGGGAGGTGAGGGAGAAGGAGATAGAGGGAGGAAGAGAGAGGGAGGGACGGGAGGAGGGAGGAGGAGGGAAGAGGAGGGGGGAGAGGGAGATAGAGGGAGGAAGACAGAGGGAGGGACGGGAGGAGGGAGGGGGAGGGAGACACACTCATTAATGGGAGACACATCAATTGGCTGCCTCCCGAATGCACTTAGATTGGGGCTGGGCACTGAACCTGCAACCCAGGTACATGCCCTTGACTGGGAATTGAACCCAGGACCCTTTGGTCCTTGGACCACTGAGCCAAAAATGCCAGGGCTCATTCAACTTTTGTTTTTTTAAAATCCTCAACCAAGGATACTTTTCCATTGATTTTTCAGACAGAGTGGGAGGGGGAGAGAGAGAAACATTGATGTGAGAGAGACACACTAACTGGTTGACTACCACATGACCCCCAACCAGGGCTGGAGATCGAACCACAACTGAGGTACATGTCCTTGACCAGAATTGAACACACAACCCTTTGGTGCATGGGCTGACACTCTAACCACTGAGCAAAACCGACCCAGGCTCCCTCAACTTCTTAATTCCTTTATTATATATTCTGTAAAAAGAAAGGACTTCTAAAACTACTTTTATATATGAAATTTTAAGAGATATATAACAAAGTAAGTTTTTCTTTTTTTCTCATTTTAACAGTTTCAAGAGAAAAGTAAGTATCTGCCATTTTTAACACCCTAACTTCAAATTTCAAACATTTCTAATTGGCTTTACGTTCTTACATTAAGCTTGTAGGTTGGAACTTACATATACAATCTTTACTAATAAAGCATCCTGATTTTTTTTAAAAAAAGATTTTGTCTTTCCTCCGAAACACAGAAAATTAATTCTAAGCTATTGTACCATATGTTCATTTTTTAAAAACTTATCTTTATTGTTGAAAGTATTACATATGTCCCCCCTTTTTTCCATTGATCCCCTCCTCCCCGCTTCTACCCACTTCCTGCCTTCCCCACACTATTGCCTGTGTCTACTATATACCAAATGTTCTTATGACTAGTTTTAAAAATGCCTTTAATACTTACAGCTTGATTAGGTAGATTGTCAGTCTTAAGTTCTCTGTGATTGGAATACTGAATAAAAATAGGCTGGCTTCGAAGGTGAGGAGTAACAGGAGTGTAATAATTCACCATAGTAATAGCAGCTTCCTCAGAAGCCATTTCTAAGAAAGCCTGCAATAAACACAAGAAGGTAAAGTGAAAGCTCATGTTTTTTGAAAGACAGCTAAAAACTATTTTGCCATTCCAGCTTGCTCTAAATTCAAGCATTCTCAACCTAAATAACATTGCCCCCAAGGGGATGAAAAGATTTTTGCTTCAATATGTATCATTGATATTAATTGGGAACATATTGAAAAAGCTGAGTTCTGTACAGGATTTGGGATTGAGAAACTGCCAGTTGATTAAATGATTTATATGGTTTTTGGTTTTTCTCTTATTTTGGTTTCTCCTAAATCTAGATATAATTAAAAAGGCAAAAATAAATGTACGCATCACCACCATTGTCAGTGGATGCTTTAATGAGTTGGGATTTAACAGTTCTTTCCTAAAACATTCTCAAATAGAGATGGGGCATACTGATTTGTTCTTTTTTACCTTTTTATTAAACAGTTTATGAATACAAATAAATAGAGCATTCAGGTACAGAGGCTCAACTGTTCAAATTAGGGAAATGAGAGAACTTCCTATATTAAGTCAATACTGACTGGAGTCATTCAAGCGACAATTTTTTGATATCTGTAATCACTGAACTAATAGTAAATATTTGCAGAGTACACAGGACGAGTTAACATGGAAGACGTACCTTGGTATTTATATTTTATTCTATATATGACTTGTTCTGACTGTCACGACTCCTGTAACGTATGTGACAGGAATAGGATACTTACAGAGCTTTTAAGGTGGTAGGTTTTGCCACCTATCTTTATGGTTTGTTAGGAAGATAAAATATAGACATACACTAACCACTCTGAACCCTCAGAACTACCTTAAGAACATCTCAAATTTAAAATGCATTTTAAATCAACACAAATTTCTAGTTAGACAATTCAATTCTTTTTAACTACAATAAAATATTTAATTAGCAAGCATACAGTAATTCAAATTATGTATAAAAGTTATAATTTGTACAATATGTATTTAACAACAAAACTTATTGAACATAGAAAATGGCAAGTATCTATAAATCGAACTTCCTTTGTTATCTTACTTGGCAAGTGTTTCCATTTGGCAAATATTCCAGGCTATTAAATTAACAAATGTTCAATGATACTTAGCTGAATTAATCATATATCACAACTGAATTGATTAAATGAATTAAAACATTCTATTAAGTAGTAATGTTAGCCACACAACAGTGAATCAAACATCATCAATTAACTGATCCACAATAAAGAAATAAAATTCTTCTATCTTCAAGAAATAAAATAGACTATGAGTCATTTATGCATCTAAAAGGTATAAATGTCCATGACACACTTTAAATCCACTATCAACTTGTATCAGTAATATATTTTCTCTAATACTTCTAAGAAAAGAGGATAAAAATGATTAAGGTAAAAATAGCTATGGCAACATTTCCTATCTTGTTTTTAATAATCTTTTCAACAAAAAATTATACAGTGTGCAAAGTATTTTAATAATATTCACTATATGGGGAGAGGGTCTCTTTCTACAAACTCTTTACTACATGTTAAGAACTAAAGCAATGTTTAACATCAGTTACACAAAGGAAAAACTAAACAATGCATTTGGAATAGTACATGATTCTTGTCATAGGAAGGTTCTCCTATAAGTACATGAAACCTAAGAATTCACAAGTAAAAATAATTTTTCCACATGGTTTCCAGTAAAGGTTTTATTTTTGTTTTTCTAAAGTATCCAGTCAAAGGATCGATTTTCATACTGTAGGTGGAAAGAAAATCAAGTCACTACCCACAAAAAAACAGGTGAAAAGAATTCCCATTGTGCCCTCAACATACTACCTCCAAGTACCATGGGAAAGATTACGCGTAAAAGTACTTCTAGTGACTCACATCAGAATCTCTTGCTTAAGTATATTACTAACAAGATATTTTTCAAACAGAATTTATGATCAAAAGACAAGCAATCAACATAGCAGTCAATTAGCACTGATAAATATAACCCAGAACCAAAAGTAGAGACAAAGGAAAGTATAATGTTGCCTGATGCTTCTCACAGCCATTTGACATAATGTATATGACATACTATTGAAAGAGGGTAATATACATGATACATGGCTGTTAGATATCTCACAACCATTGCACATGGCCATGATGTTGCCTCTTTTCAAACCAATAGCAAATCTGCTATTCTCAACAAAGGCAACTGTGTTAAAATAAAGATCTAAGTACATGTACTATCTCCAAGAGATGGAAGATAAGAGTGTAGACCCAGTAAGGGCTGAATACTATGACATGTTTTTTAACTTCTACAGATCTTAATAAACCTTGTCTGAATTAAAGAGGGATGTTAGTTTTTAGTTTACTAAAGATAGGGGCCTGAATCAGACATCATCATCCAATCTCTAACAAGTCTAATGCTAATCAATCAATTTATTTATAAATAAGCCTGGCTTATGTGGCTCAGTGGTTGAGGCTCACTGAGAGGTTGCCAGTTTGATTCCCGGTCAGGGCACATCCCCAGTGCGGGTCATGCAGGAGGCAGCCAGTCAATGTTTTCTTATCAATGTTTCTCTCTCTCTCTCTCTCTCTCTCTCTCTTTCTCTCTCTCCTTTCCTCTCTCTCTAAAAATCAATAAAAGAAAAAATATTTAAAAAAATAAATAAATATAGTTAAAATGTGCTTAAACTTATTATTTATGAAAAGTGTAAGAAACAGGAACATATCACAATGTCTCACACAATGTTTAGGGCCTAGATTTGCTATTTCTTCTTTGCAACAATTCTCAGTTTAAAAGATATTCAGGACAACCAAAAACTAGGAAAGAACTAAAAAATTCATCCCTATGGGGTCTGAGTTTGAACAAGAAAGTATGTGATTATTCATTCAATATGATAAGTATATTTTTGTCATGCTCATCACAAAAGTTCCCTTATTCATCTTAAGAAAAACCTATTAACTTCTGAAATAAAGAACCTCTTATAGTCTCTTTCAGATTTTTAAAGAAGCTTCATATTAATTCTGTAACTAAAATACACTAAAAGTTCCTATGTAGATTAAGAAAAACATATGTTCTAGAATTTGCCAAATGAGGTATAATTTATATATTCTCTCTCTGTCAGGGTCTTCTGATAATCAGTGGATATTTTCATAAACCATTTTAAAATTAAAAATATAAAATGATTTTTATTGAGGAAAAAGACTAGTCAATATTAATGTTTTTGTTTGTTGCTTCTTGTCACATACAAAATTTATAATTTAAAAACTACTTCATATAAATAAAATGAGATTTAGATAATACAGAAAAGTTCAAGAAAATCAAAATCATCTTTAACACTAATACCGAAATATATCACTATGGGTCAATCTTTAAATATTACATACCTGGCTTTTTCCTTTCAACATCAAAAGATTAGTTACTTTGCCAAATGGTAGACCTAATGATATGACCTCTGCTTCGGTGACATCACTTGGAATTTTGCGAAGATGGAGAACACGGGAAGGCGAACAGGGAGGTCTATCTCCTTTAAATTTCTTGTTGTCATTCCCATTAGCTAAAAAAATAAGATTTAAAAAAATTACTGAAACTAATTTGGGTTGACATACTACATTAATCATACATATTGTCACATCTCACCCTCCAAGGGTTTCAGGTTTTGAAATTTAGGGAATGATGGAGTTGATGGGGGAAGAGGAGAGAAGGACAGTAAAAAACAAAACCATCCATCTTTCAATCAAGAATTTTTGGGTTTTTCACTACAGGTATTAAAATTTTTGAAAATTTAAGCATAATTTTTAACTTCAAGGAAATTATTGAGTAAATTAATTACATATTTAGAGGCACCAAATACCTCTAAATAGTCAACTATTTGCTGTGAATAGAGAACATTTATAATGTCCTTATAGTATTTTAAAAGATACTTTTCTAATTTGTTCTATTGCTAAATAAATAAGAACAATAACTTTTAGGGACCACTATAACAAAAATTTTGTATTTATCACAACCTAAGGGGATTTGAATTTAAGCTGTAAGTTTATGAAAATTAACTCTTATTTCTTAGGGGTTACATATTTTTTACTAATCTATTTTTAAAGTTATTTTTTAAAGCTAAATTGTGCTTTCTGAGGATAATCTTATTCCTCACTATATAATAGTAGTTCTTAACATAAGCATGGTCACCTTATTGAAAATGCAAATTTTCAGCTACACCCCACTACTGAATCAGAACTAGGGGTGGGACCCAGATGATTCTGATGCAACCTAAAGTTTGAGAACCACTGCAGTAAAATAGAAGAAATTATCCCAGTTCACAGATCAATTTTATTTAAATCCTATTATTTTAACACTGACAATAACTAGACTGACAAAGCCTGTAACAAATACTCAAATTTATGTACATGAGATCCAGAAATGTTTTTCCCCAGAAACAGCACTGTGTAAAACTGAACACAAATTATCCAAAAGCCAAAGGTTTCTTTACAATTAAAAAAAATAAATACTAAGCTCTGGCAGGTTTGGCTCAGCCGTTAAAGCATCGGCCTGCAGACCAAGGAGTCACAGGTTCCATTCTGGTCAAGGGCACATATCTCCATTGCAGTTTGTCCCGGGCCCTGGTCGGGGTCATGCAGGAGGCAACCAGTCCATGTGTCTCTCTCACGTCATGTCAATGTTCCTCCCTCCCTCCCTCCTACTCTATCTAAAGATAAATGGAAAAATATCCTCAGGTGAAGATTAAAATAAATAATAAAGAAATAAAAGAAATACTAAATGCCATAATTAGCACTATTAGGAAGAAAATATCATCTTTCAAAATGCCTAAAATGATCATTTTTCCAAATACCAGTGAACTTTACAATCACTTATCTGTGATGCTAAATAAACAAATTTCATGAGGACCACATAAAAATTATATGGTAATATTTTATACCCGTATCTGTGGCACAGAACTCAACTTGCTTACAGTTGAATGGGTTGACTTAACCAAAAAAGCACTTTTCCCTAAATTCTGTGTTCATGAATGCTGGCAGCATCTGACATGGAGCCAAATGACCATCAATTCTTAGAGGTCCTTACAGTTCTGTGTCTGTATATAGTAAATGCTTAGGCCAGATTGTAAAAAATAATTGGCAGTCAAATATTTATTGAGAATTAATCTGGGAGGCAAGAAATTCATTATCCTCCCTCTTCTTTCCCATGAATCACCATGAAATATTTTTTCCCTTCCAAAATGACTGATTATATTTTCCATCTCCACTCTCAATGTCACCAACCTCACTTATAATCTTGTCCCCTCCTACTTCTCTAGTCTCATCCCCCCATCCTGACTCAGATCCAACATTATCAAACTAACTAAAATAGTGTATCATGTCATTTTCCTCTCTAAAATCTCTTAACAGGCTTCCAATCACCTAAAATGTCCATTAATTTCCAGTTTTCATACTGTTTTATACTTAGTTAAATCTTACTAATTTTAACACATGAAAAAACAGAGGTTCAGAGATTATTTATTTTTGTACACAGCTAAGAAGTGAAAAAAGCATTATTCAAACTAAAATTGAAAGGAGATTTTAAAAAATAAACATCACTTGAGGACATGTTTGTTTTTTTAATTGATTTTTTTTTTAGAGAGAGAGGAAAGAAGAGAGAAACATTGATCTGTTGCCTTCTATATGTGCCCTAACCAGGGGTCAAACCTGAAACCTATGTATGTACCCTGACCAGGAATCAAACCTGACACCTTTTGGTGTACAGGATGATGCTCCAATCAACAGAGCCATCTGACTGGGGCTAAAGGTAATTTTTTTTTTTTTTTTTTACCACAAAACCCTAAAGCATTTCTCTTACTGTTTCTAGAAAAAAGTAAGCAAATGACCCTGACATTATGAATTTTTAAAGTATGTGCAAATTTTCATAGATTATAACAACTTTGTCACTAGGCAAAAATACCAAACATTAACATCCTGGATAGGAATGAAAGCCAAGTATTGAGTGCCTTTTTGTGCCCTCCCTAAAGGTCTAAATGGCTAGACTAAAATACCACCACCTTGTGCCCTCTTAGCCAGAAAAAGGTGTTAAAGACTAGAAAAACCCAGACTATTCCAAAATAATAAAAGAACGTTAAAAAGATTGTTACTTTAATAGAAGTATATATAATCTCTATAAAACTGTTTGGGAAAAAATGAATACTACAAGGTATTTGAGCTTGTGCTGCACTATCAAATAAAGACCCATGATGACAAATTTTTATTTTTAAAATGTGCAATTATCAATCACCATTTTAGGTTGTTAATTGTTCTGTATTATAAGTGTCGGAGCTATATTATGAGCACAGTCTATGAAATCAGACATCCTGTCTGCGCAAGTTACCTGATAACTGAGCCTCAGATTCTTTTCCTGTAAAATCAGTATAAATGACATGGTTATTTTGAAAATTGAATTAGGTAACATCTAAATGTTAGGCACAATGCCCAGTACATAAACCAATAATATATGTCTAGATTTTAAGAAATGTTTTATATTTTTTTCTACCTTTTTGGTGTTAAAATGATTGTAGACAATAGTGACTTTTTTCTCTTGATATCCTTACTTTGCAAAATTAATTGAAAATTTTATTTTATGAAATCCAAAAATCTAAGAACTACTAATCTGGATGACCCCAAAATGGTTATATCTAAAAATCTGATAAATACACTAATCTGAAAGTAGAAAAAATTTATAAGAAACCCTATAGCCATAATTTAATAAAAGTCAACAGGGAACGAGGAAATTTTACAGCACTGAACACATAACCTTGAAGAATTATTCTTTGTAAAAAAAGGATACACCACAGACTTTCCAAAAATTTTATTATGAAAATTAGCATTCAAAACACTTAGCTTATATAAATCTTGTATTTTACTGAACAATATATTGAAAACTTCTAAATGCCTATTACATATTAGTCATTCTAAACGGATAAGTGGAAGAGGCTTTTTAAAAATTCATATATTTCCACCTCAAAACTGGAGGAATCTACAAGGTAAAATATCCTATAAATGTGAATCTTTTTAAAAATTCAATTTTATTAGGGTATACTTTAGATACAATAAAATATACTCATATTGTAGACAGTTTGACAATTTCTCTCATATATACCCATATGGCCACAATAAACAAGATATAGGACAATTTCATCATTCCCAGAAGTTTCCTAGTGACCCTTGTAGTCAATACTCCTTCCAAGATCCCCAGCTTCTCAAATAAGACATTTGGGGCCGCTACCACACTGTCTTGATTACTATTGCTTTACAGCAATTCTTGAAGTCAGGTACTTACTGAGAGGAATTTACATCTTAATATTTGAGTCATCCAAACCATACACATCGTGATATCTCTGCATTTATTTAGGCTTTCTTTAATTTTTCTTAGCAATGTTCTGTGGTTTTCAGTGGAATGGTGATACACATATTTTGATGTAATTATCCCTATGTACTTCATAATTTTTAATGGGCTTGTAAATAACATGTTAAAACTTTTATGTTCCAATTAATCATTGGTAGTATACAGAAGTAAAATTTTGGTATGCTGACCTTGTATCCTGCAACCCTGCTAAATTCTTTATAATTTTCTATATATATAATTTTATTTCTTACTTTCCAATCTTATTCCAGCTTTAGTGAACTAGTTAGGACTTCTTATACAAAGTTAAATAGAAATAATAAGATTAAACATCCTTGCATCATTCCTAATTTCAGAGGGAAAGTACTGTCTTACATCATTAAGTAAAATGTTTTTTATAGTTTCATACCTTTATCAGGTTGAAAAAGTTCCCTTCTAATTAGCTGACACTTGTATCATGAATGAGAACTGAATTTTCTCAAATGCTTTGTCCAGATATAAACCCTACTTGGCCATGATATATTATCTCCCTTCTCTCTTCATATATAAAATAGGGATGAGATTTAATATCTTGCTGAATCTTTTCATGTCCATATACATGAGGATATTAATCTATATATTTTTTCTTTCTACATCAGGTAATGCTAACCTCAAAAAATGAATTGGAAAGTGTTCTCTTCTATACTCTGAAAGAGTTCGTGTAACATTATTTCTTCCTTAAACGTTTGATAGAATTCACAAAAAAGCCACTGAGCCTGGACTTTTTAATTATCAATTTGATTTTTAAAACAGGTATAGGGCTATTTAGGTTTTCGATTCCTTTTGTTCCAGTTTCAATAATTTGTGTTTTCCACAGAATTTGTATAAATCATCTAAATTGAGTTATTCGGACAAATTCTTCATAAACAATGAAAATTTACTTTCTCACGGTTCTGTAGACGAGAAGTCCAAAATCAAGGTGCCAGCTTGGTCCCTTTCTTTTTTTTTATCCTCACCTGAGGACATTTTTCCATTTTTGTTCAGATAGAGTGGGAGGGAGAGAAACATCGATGTGAAAGGGAAACATCGAGTGGCTGTCTCCCGCACGACCCCAACCATGGCCGGGACAAAATCACAACCAAGATACGCACCCTTGACCAGAATCGAACCCGCGACTCATTGGTCCACAGGCTGATG